TTCCCCTTCAGTGACCTCTGAAATTCCTGGCTGTCTTCACTGAAGTCTCCTGTATTTGTTGTGTCTTGACATTCTGACTCCACCGGAGACTGGGTTCTCACCTAAGGAGGGTGATGCTCAGAAGCCCTGGGGGTACTGCTGCTTGTGTTGCCTTTTCTCCCACCACGTCCCCAGCGTGGCCCTGGAAGCAGGGCTAGATGTCTTCACTGCTCTGTGCTTTTTCTAGACCCGCCTCTGCTCATGGCTGAAGTGACTAGCCACCTGGGCACTTAGTAGAGCTTGGAGATGTGCAATTGGGTGAAATACATGGTGGATGTTGGGGACCTCACCGGTGAAAAAGAATGTACCGAATCTCATTATTATTGTTCCATCGATTCCATGGTAAAATGCTGATATTTACATCCTTCACATTAAAATATGTCCAAATTAATCTTTTTCATTTTTCTTCTTTAAATGTAGCTGATTTTAAAATCCCTATGTGGCTTTCATTTTATTTCCTTTGGAAAGCACTCTTCCTTTCTTCTCCGCTAACACTCTCTGGAGTCTGAACCTCCTGTTGTCACATTGTTTCGTCCTTATTGCGTGCTCCTGGAGTCCTCGTTGTCATAGTCTTGGCCGCCTGCCTCCCGTCTCGTGAGGTTGACTGCTAAGTCATCAACACTTTTGTCAGTACTGTCTTAATTCATGGTACATTCTGTGTGCATTCAGATATACCTTCCAATACATGTACTTCTGGTTTTCTTACGTGCCTCCCTTGGTTATCTTGTTTACCTCTTTACTTCAGTTGCTCAATTCTATGTACATTTCTTGACCTTGGCCATCATAAGATTTTAAAACCTCTGCCCCAGTCCCTTGGGCCCTGGCTGCAGCACTTCCTCATGTTCCCCAGCACTGGGGTCCCCTGGCCACGCTCTGGAGCCCTTGTTTCTCTCATTCCTTTGTTCAACACACATTCTCTGGTCACCTGTTGTGTTCCATGCTTCACTCAAGGCACTGGAGATAGGAAACCTTTTCCCTCACATTACTTATCACCTAACTGGGGTGACAGCAGGTCAAACTTAATAAGTAAAATATTTGGCATGGGGTTAGATTTCGAGAGGTGCTAGGGAAAAAAATCTAAAGCTAAAAATGGCAATATGAACTGTTGGCCATGAAGGAGGGGAAGTTTTAGGTGGATGGCCAATGAAGGAAGTAAAGAAGCCAGCCAAGGGGATATCTGGGGATAATGCACTCCAGACAGAAAGCAAGTACAGAGTCCTTGAAGTAGGAGGGACTGGTGTCTTCAAGAACTAGAAGAAATGAAAATATGGCTGAAGCCGAGAGGAAAAGGAAAAGCGAAACAGACAGTGAGGTCAGAGATGTAACTAGATATCAAATCCTGCAGGGCTTTGTAGATTCTAGTGAAATCTGGAAAACTGTTGTGTACAATAGCCCATACGTGCAATTCCAGCAGTTCAGGAGGCTGAGGCAGGAGAATCGCAAGTTCAAGGACAACCTCAGCCACTCAGCAAGGTTCTAAGCAACTTAGGGAGACCTTGTCTCAAAATAAAAAGGGATGGAGATGTGGTTCAGTGCTTAAGGACCCCTGAGTTCAATCCTCAGTACAAAAGGAAAAGGGAAAAAGGAGTATTGTAAAGCTGTTGAGGGATTTTGAGCAGAAGAATGTTGTAATGTGTTCACATTTTAACAGGATTATTTTGAAACCGCAGTAAGACTAGTTTGTGAGTGAGCCAAGGCAGAAGCAGAAGGACCTGCTGGTGGCTATTGTGGCAGTCCTGTGAGATGCACGCGGCTCACACACCCGGTCATGTTTCGGTGGCTTGATCACAGTTGTGATGAGGTCACGGGGAGTGAGAAGTAGACATTCTGGATACATCTCAAAAAACGGAGCTGTGGCAGTTTCTTGAGGGAATAAATAAAGATGTGGAAGGAAGCAGGTCCGGGAAGACTGGGATCCCATGTGCAGCCATGATAAGAGCAGCTGAAGTGAGGAAGATATCGCTTATCCACCTTGAGGTCGCTGATGCAGGATGTCCAGGTGCAGATGTTAAGTGAGCAGTTAGCATTCTTGAAACTCAGGAGAGAATCGTATAAGCCTAGCACTCACATTTTTCTGATTTTTCTTACTTGCTGTAAATTTCTTGTTCAGTTGCCACTAGCGTCCTGAAGCTTTTTGATAATTCCTGGGGCCATGTGACTTCTCCCTGCCTCTAGTTCATTCTTTGAAGCGTCTCCCCCACACACCTGGCCCCAGTGCCCCGGTGTGCTTAAGTCCCTCAACCTCTTTGGGGTTCTTGCCACCACTTTTATGTCTTTCCAATGCAGCCTGTCCCTCATTCTAAACTGAAGCGCCCTCTCCACCAGCATTTTTTGTTTCCCTGTCTCTATTATGCTCCTTCTACCACTTTTTCCACAGTCCAAATAATGTGCCTATTTTTTATTTTTAGGAGTGTTCGTTGTCCTTCATCTGAATGTTGACCCCATGAAGGAAGGGACTTTCATTTTCTTACTGATATATCCCAGCACGTGACAAATAATCACTAAGTATTTGTTGGGTTTTTCCAATTTGTCATTAGCTTACAAATGAAACTTATGAATTCATCCAACATGTGTATGAGGTAATAAATGTGACATGCTGACTTTTAAAAAGCTACTAACTATTGGGACCCGTGCCAAGTAGGGAGGTATTTTGTAGGAATTAGATGGTGTTTACGCAGCCTAATTAATAATTAGCTTCTTGCCTCTCTGGTTATTTATCTTCAATGTTTTTTCCTGAGTTTTTATATGCTTAGGGGAGCTCAGTAAATACCTGTTGTGTATGCCCATGCAAACGCAGTGCTAGAGTCGGGATTCTTGTGCTTCCTCCAAAAGGAGAGACACATAAGAATAGCAAAGATTATAACAAAGCATGACTGGTGACATTAGAAATAAATGTGGAAATAAAAGCTTTGGCTCCACCTAGAAAAGGCACTCGTGCCATCCACAATGGCCTATTTTCTCTGGAAGGCCCTGTCCCAATGGCACTAACTGTCTCAGAGATGTCAATCTTGCTTTGTAAAAACCTATGCAAATATGCAGGGGTGATGTCTGCCCTCTCTCCTCCTTCTCTGTGAATCCCTGGTCCCACTTGCAGCTAGGACTAGACAATAGCAGAAATGGTGGGTGCAACCCCTCCCCCACCCCACCTGCAGCTTGCATTGATCCGCTAATGTTTTTAATCAATCTTGCTAAATACTTCCTGTAGGGAAAATGAGTAGTGATGAGAAGTAATCTTGCTGCTCCTTTCTTCTGAAAAATTCAGTGACTGATTTACAGATATTGCTTATTCATCATGATATCCTGTTGTAGAAGGTGGGAATTAAATTTCAGCCTTAAAGGTTATGGGATCCCTCAAGGCCCAGAGTGTAGTAATGAAAAATTGAGAACCTGGAAAAGGGATTCCAGTATCTGCACAGTGAATAAACTTCTATCAGACCTTGCTTCTGATGTGAATTTAGGATTATGTGGATATGAATATGCCAATGTTCTTTTCATTGGAGCCTTAAAACTGTCTCCATATTTCATGTACAACTTCTTTTGTTTCATTTCTCTTCAATTTAAAGCAAATTCTGTAATTTTCCTGAGGTCATGTGGGGTTCTGGGTCCTTCTCAACTGCACTGGAGTGTGCTTCTCAGAAAGACCTCCCTGAGATGCTACCACTTGATACCCCAGATGGAAGCCTTTGGCAAATCTAATTACTTACAAGTTATCTCTTTCCTCTGAAGACTAATAGGGGTCCCTGTCTTTACCTATTATTCAGAGTAATACATGTCTCCTAGGGTACGTGGTCACATGTTTCCTAGGGTACATGGTCCTTTTGGGGCCCCAAATCTAATTCTTGGAGTGGTAGAAAAATCTCTCCAAAGATCATAGTGCTCCTATAGATGTATGATTTGCCTACATTAAAATAGTCTAGCTTAGACACAAACCCACCTTATCCAAAGTAATAATTCCTGTTCTCCCTTACTCTCTGATATGTTCAGAAATAGTAAATCCATTCCAAGTTTCATGGTTCCATCATGTATTGTGTGTTTAATGTTTTCATTAATCTTGTAATGATCCCACAGTGTGGTAGTGACTCTGATTCTTCCCCAGGCCAGCAAGTCTTTTGTTGCACTCTCTTCATCTATTAATTCATCAAAATCTTGAGCATCTTTTAATGTGTTAGGCACCATCAGGTCACAAGAGCTATAGCCATTGAATGAACAAACAAACAAAAAACTAAAATAAAATAAAAATCCAATCAACCAACCTCATATCCTTCGGATTCTGGAGCTAATACATTATTTATGCCCCTAGGAATTACACGTTGGGGTACCATTGGTACATCAGGGTTGGACTACATTTTATCTCAGTTTTTTTTTCTTTAATGTACTCTTTCAAAACTGAAAACTCAAAGACTCTTTGTTTTTGTGCAAATTTTATTTTACAACAGAATTATTATTATTGTCAGTTTCTATATTATATAAGGTTTTCCTAAAATATTTTAATTAAGTTCTTCCATCCTCCATCTTTCTTGATCAAGATAGCAGTTTGGGGCTGAGAATATAGCTTAGTGATAGAGTACTTACCTAGCAAGCTCCAGGCCCTCGGTTACGTCCCTAACTTCCTCAAACCCCCATTTCCCCCCAACCCCCCGCAAAAAAAGAAAACAAAACATCACCTTTGACTGTGCTAAGTCAAAGACACCCACATGAAAGGAATACACAAGTGGATTGTTAAGGGGAGAGTGAGCTAGTTTTCTAGGTAAATAGGCGCTTGGGAAAGACTTCGAGTTGGTTGTCCAGAGTTCTTGATACCCAGCTCTGCCACTTTCCAGTTATGTGAGCTCGATGAAGCGCATGAATTCTTTCATCTGAATAAGTAGCCTAGAGTATCGAAAGCTCCATTCAGGGTTTAATGCCACTTGGTTATTTAATTTCTTTAAACATGTGACTTCCCACTTCACCTGCTTACCTAGGTGGACGTGATCGTGACACTGGGAGGCCTTGCTGGGCGTTTTGACCAGATCATGGCGTCTGTGAACACCCTGTTCCAAGCCACTCACATCACGCCTCTGCCAATTATCATGATCCAAGAGGAGTCTCTCATCTACCTTCTCCAGCCAGTAAGTGAAAAAGTAAATAAAACAGTACTTCCTTCCATAATACTTCTAGCATTCTAGAAGATGCGGAGAACCTTGGCCTCGCTGTCTTTTAACTCTGAAGTACACTGTTTACTTATTTGTAGCTGCTTTCCTCTGTGGCCCCAAGTCCCTGCCCAGCACCAAGGCAGAGAAATCTCAAAGTTTACGTTTTATTGCAGCCAGAAGAAAAAGAAAATCTTGTAACTTTTAATTAAATTGAGTAAGAATTAAATTTAGCACATTTGCATTTAGAACAGTTGAATGTGAATGACACTTGAGAAAACCTTCAACACAAGGGAAACACAAGACTTGGCAAATATATCAAATGGAATTCTCATATATTTTGAGTTTTGTCCTTGTAATTGGAAACTGGATTTGATTTTGTTAAGTACTTGAAAACAAATGTTTAGCTTTTACTACTCCTAAGTTGCCTGATAATTAATTTTACTCCTTAAAGCAAATCTTTAACAATGACGTCATTTTTATCCAATGATAAGTATCAGGAAAATTTCTATCAATGTAGGGCATAGAATAGAATTCTTACTAAATAAACAAATTTTATAAGGTTTATTGGTAGATTTTAATTAAAAAGAAATCAGCAGCTGGGTACAGTGGTACACACCTATAATCCCTGTGGCTCAGGAGGCTGAGGCAGGAAGATTGCAAGTTCAAAGCCAACCTCAGCTATGGGGAGGGGTCCATCATTTTGTTAGGGGATACTTCTTCCTACTCAGGAGGATGAAAGCCACCTAAGAAATTAAAGTCTAGAAGAATAATGAATAAAAAAAGACAAAGTCAGAAAGATATTTTCAAAAGAGGGAGACCTTGATAAATCCAGTGGTTTATTAAGGGCATACATTAAAGACAGGGATAAGATTTAAGGAGTGGAGTCTTGCTTCATGATGTCTTGCCCTCAGCAGGTTGATTGGCATTTTGGCAGGTCACACCCATCTCAGAGGGGCTGTGCAGCTACAGCAGGTCACCCCATCTCCAGTGCTGTGTGGGACCTTTGGCAAAGCTTGAATAGGGCTCAGAGTGTATCTGGGCAGTAAGCCAGAGGAAATGGCCACTAGAAGTTCCTAGACACCAGATTCTCCTATTCATTAGGCTGCCATATGCGATGTAGTCTGCACACGGCCCACAGATGGTTCTTGACACTCAGCAACCTAACACAGCCCTAAGTAACTTAGTGAGACTCTGTCTCAAAATAAAAAATAAAAAGGGCTGGTATGTGGCTTAGGGGTTAAGTGCCCCTAGGTTCAATCCTTGGTACCAAAATATATATATATATATATGATTTTAAAAGATAGTGGGCAGTTGTTTTCTTTTTTTCTGTAGTATACCATTGTGAAAAATGTGTTGTTTAATGTAGCTAGTCAAATGTATACTGAGCATTGTTGAGCAAGTTTTATCTTTTTTTGTTTGTTTTACCCTTTTTTGTTTTGTTTTTGTTTTTAAATCTTGTTCTGGCTCTTTATATCACCTGGACTTGGTGCTTCCTAGGAAAATGTGGAAGAGGAGCTGAGGAATTCAGATCTCAAACTCCATATTCTTTCTTTACTTAGCAGTTACATAGCACCTGCTACATTGGGATTAGTCATACATTTGATCTCTGGTTCCTGTCTCGTGGAGGAGACATTTATAAAAATGTATTCGTAACTGTGTTAGCTTTCTGTTAATATAACAAATACCTGAGGTGATCAAGTTATAAGGAGGAAAGGCTTACCTGGCCCACAGTCTTCCCAAGGCTTTAGTTTGATCATTGGCTCTTCTCTGTTGCCTGGGGCTGGTGGCAGAACATCGTGGTGGGGGAATATAGTGGAATAAAACCACTCATCTCGTGGCCAAGTCATGAAAAAAGAAAATAAGAAAGCGGCAGGTTCCCACTACCCTTTGAGATCATGCCTGATGACCTGAGACCTCCCTTGGCCCCACCTCCCCATAGAACCACCCTGGGGCCCGAGCCTTTATCACATGGACTTGTGGGGGACTCTGAAGATCTAAATGATAGCAGTAATCTCATTAAGAGATTAGTGCATAAAGATGATGAGAGAACAAATAATTTGGGCATGTGTAGTAAGGAAAAGCTTTGCACAGGCACACATGGTTTAGTCTCTCAATTAGTGCAACAAATATTTGTTGAATATCTTTTATTTGCCAGGCTCCTTTCTGGGGATAAGAAATCAACAAAACAGACAAAAACCTTTGTTTTCTTGGAACATACATTCTCCTGAACTTACATTTGAACAGAATCTTCATGGGAAAGACATTAGCTGCCAGTAAGGAAAGGTGGAGGTGCAAACGTGGGGGCCTTCAGAATAGGTGGTCCACGGCTGCTGTTCATTGTTATTGAGAATTACAGTCACAGTCAGGATAGGCAGAAGGAATGTTACAGAATTAACCCGAAACCATTTGAAGTATTATGCAGCAAAGATTAGTACAGTCTGATGTGTCTAATGACAAAGAATGACATTAAAAATTCTTAACTTTATTTGAATCAACACATCTCACTGTTGAGTAGGAAAATATTTGATGTTTTTACAAGCTGGAGCACATTTGAACTTCATAGCAATACTGTGAGGAAAGCAGGACAGGTAATAAAGGTTTTGCCTCAACACTTTTTCCACGCCACATTTCTTCTTTCATGGGGTTAATGGACTTAAATACAAATGACAAGCTCTTAAAACAAGTCACAGCCCATAGGCTGGTAATTTTCCATAAGCAGTGGCCTGAGTGGCCAGCAGTGTGTGTATGTGAATATATGTACATAAATATTTGTACATTTATGTATACATACACACATATAGAAATTTTTTTCCTACAAAGTCTTTTTCAAATAAGATAGAACTTGGGTTCACTTTAAATATACATTCCACCTTACTGCTGTACCTCTAAATTAAAGAAAAATGCTAAACTATAAAATGTCTTCCTATAACAACAATTTTATTTTATAAAGAAATTAAATGAATTTCCATTGAGATTTGTTAACATACATTAAAATAGTAAAATTCAATATAAATGTTAATTATCATGAATGTTAGTTTTGAGAAAATTGCTTTCTAAAATTTTCTTTACAACTATAAATTATCTGATATAAAAGATAGCAGGAGGAATAAGTTCTCTATGGGAGCTCTTTGTTTGGTAAACATTTTACCACTGCAAGAGAATTAATGTTGATTCTGCCATATTGACATTAATTGGCCAGGATGTTCCTTGACCCTAGAACTAAAATGTGCTTCTCTTGATCTTACCCTCAAGTCTTCTTAGTGATGACTGTGATGTTCTGTGCTTCTTTTGGAGAGTCTACATGTGAGACTGTCATGTGACTAGAATGTATAAATAAGTAATGATTGTTCATTGATTAGAGTTATGTTAGGCATTTGGGACTGAGCCTTATATCTAGAAGCAGTTCACTGAAATTTGTTTAGTGTGTTCCAGTCTAGTCTACAGTCTCCTTTTGATCCCCTTTCGGTAGTTTATTTTTATTTATGATAAGTTAGATTTTAAAACAAAGTCATGGAAGTATATAGCTTTGCATCAATATGAATATGCTTGGGTTATAAGCATATAAATTTTTATATTGTATTTTAGAATATGTCAATTACTACAGGTCAAAATATCTACGATTGAAAACCTTAGCATGTGTTTTCTTTGAAGGAAATATTCAATCTGCCATCTAGAAATGGAAGTTTAAAATAGGATGCATAATATTTCTTCCCTCAAAAGTAAGCCTCCCTCTTTTACTTCCCCCCCAAAAAAAATGTGTTCTGCGTAAGATACCATCACCTTCTGTGAGCAGGAGAGCTCACGAAAAAGGAGATGCCCCAACGTGAAGCATCACTGATGTCCGTGACCCGTTGGGCCGTGTTCCCTCAGAAGACAGGCAGCGCTCTGGGCTGTGTTTATCATGCTGCCTGTGCAGGCTGTGGGTGGCCCCGGGTTTCACATACACACTTTCTCATTTTCTGGTTCTGTGCTTCCGAGGAGCACAGAAACATGAGCTTCTGTACACTGAGCATAAATTATCTTTTATCTCCAAGTTTTATGACAGTTTATAATACAAGTTAATAGGATTTATGACCAAGAAATGAGATGTCCTGGAGTTAATAAGGTGTGCCTTTTACATTACCCCAAACATTGTTCAGTGATTCCTAATCAGGATTCCAGGACCGGATGCGGAGCTGGTGTTACAGAGCAGACTTCTGTCAGTCTTTATCTCAGTTGAGCAAACTTCTAAATGTGTTGTAAATATGCCTGCCTTGTGATCTCAGTTATGTTTTACTGCCACTTGCTTTCTCTCATCAGATTAATTATTTGCTGGGTGAAGCCTGCCCTTTTATATATTATATGTTTGTCATACTGGTAGTGAATAGGATAAGAAAGTGTTCATAGTCTGAGTAAAGCTGAATATTCATTTCGCAGATTTGACATGTGTAATATTTCTGCTGAGAGCTCAAGTCCTGGGTCCCTGTACCAATCCATACCCATGTCAAGCAGTCTTGTCAGTGATAGCCTCCAAGAAGTGAATCTCAGCATGATTTGAAATGGGGGCAGAGAGCTTTCAATTCCAGACAACTCTGAAATCTTCTATTTGTTGTCGTATTTGAATTCCTTTCTTTGGAAAAAAATTTTTTTTTTAAATTCTTCCCTCTCTCTTCTATAACTTTTGTCATTTGCTTGTCCTTGTACTCGGATATAAATTTTATGGCAGCAAAGAACCAATAGTCTAAACAGTATTGAAAAGTTCATTTTATATATAGGAATTTGCAGAGAATCTTATGAGATCTGCCCAAGGATATTTATAGTAATTCTTTGAAGGAAAATTGGTGCTGATATCAGAGACACATACGCGCATATCCTTGTTGCTGCAGTATTCATTGTTGCTGACACATAGTGCCATCAATGAAAGAAGGGATAACACAGATGTGGGACATAGACACCTTAGAATTTATTCAGCCATTAAAAGAACAATATCCGGGCTG